GGGTAGCTGGAGACACAGACCTGAGGTTCTCTCTGCTTTTGAGGTTACCCTTTCCTAGGAATCTTTATCACCTTGCTAATGTATACAGAGAGGGACTGTGAAGCCCCTTTGCTTCTATCCCTTTAACATATAGTCGAGAGAAGCTGAAAACTTTAGACGTGTTCATAATAGATGAGGGAAAAGCAAACGGAGAGGTGGGTAGGAACCAGGAATCTGTCTCAAAAGATGTGGGCTATGTGTCGTTATCTGCACTGCCTCAGTTGCTGGCCTGTCTGGAAGTCATCCCATCCTATTCATCTGCTTCCTTCAAGATAGAGCAGCACCCACCCACCCCACCCCTGAGAGAGAAGGATTTCTTCCCAACTGCCTGAGACCCACCATATCAGATCTTATGTCCTATCTGCAAATCTGTTTCCACCAATAATTAGCACAAAAAAATTCCGTTTTTTATTATGAAGTTTCCCCCCTAGCTCCATGTCCACCCCTGCTTCCTTCTTAGAGGATGTCGTAATTGTTGCTTAGGTACCATCTAGCTTCTGCTCATTGTTCCTCTGAGCAGCAGTGGAGGGAAATGACACAGGCATTTGGGGTGGAGCTCCTATAGCTGGCGTGGTCAGAGGCTGTGCAGATACTCCTGGAGAACATATTAGGAACTGAGACTGGGCAGGGCAGAGGAACCATGGGAACAGGCACTCTCACATCTGCACAGAGAATATGAGGGAGGGAGCCCACAGATCTCCTGTGTACACCATTACAGTCCGTAACTATTCCTCCTGCCAGGAAGCCCCTATTACTTAATCTAATCCCCCCCACTTTTCTCCAAGTTCGGCGAGCCTTTAATTTCATGTTTCTGCATGTCCCTGTGTTTTGTTCCTGTTTTTTATGTCCCATCCCAACCACCCACACGGTCTGTGAGTGTCAGAGAGAATGGTCTGGCAAAAGGTTGCTGCAGGCCCTGACTTTACATGAGTCAGGGAGACTGGCTCCATTCTGTAAGCTCAGATTTGGTGTAGACCTGCACAAAAACATATTTCATAACATCTGTCCTGATGTTATGACATCTGTGAACATGTATATATGCTTTTTTATAATTGACAAGTACAGGAGCATTATATACATAAATTCACATGCTGATTTTACTCCCCCAACAATAATCACTTATCTTAAAACTCATTCTATGTATGCATTAAAGATTTATCTCTTTTTTTGTGGCTCCGTCATATTTTATTATACAATTTTATGATAATTTAATTAACCCTTTATAGTAAACATTTTTGTTGTTTTTCATCTTTCTGCCATTATAAACTACACACATTATATTATACACATCCCCGACTAGTTTTTGTCAACTTGTCACATGCTAGAATTATCTGGAAAAAGAGAACCTCTACTGAGAAAATGCCTTCAACCAGATTGACCTGTAGACGAGCCTGCAGGGCATTTTCTTACTTAGTGATTGATGAGGGAGGGCCCAGCCCATTGTGGGTGGGGCCACTCATGAGACTCTGGTCCTGGATTCTATAAGAAAGCAGGCTGAGCAACTCATGGGGAGCAAGGCAGTGAGCAGCACTGCTTCTTGGCCTCTGCTTTAGTTCCTGCCTCCAGGTTCCTGCCTTGTGTTCCTGCTTTTATTTCCCTGGATGATGGACTATGAGCTATAAAATAAAATAATCCCTTTCCTTGCCAAGTTGCTTTTGATATTTATCATAGCAATAGAAACCTGGCATGTACATATTTACATATAAGAACAAAGGAGTAAATATAACTTAAACACATATTCCCACTCTCCCCTCCATGCTTACATACCAAAACCCTTTCCCCACACAATGTCATCATACACCACCAAATATTAATGATTCTGGAATCCATCTTCCAGCCCAGAGCAGACATTTAATTTACAGACTCTAAATTGATGGGCATCCCCATGAGTAATGCCGAAAGTGCCTTCCCTGATTTAATGGATCACTTCTCCCACACAATCAGCTCTTCCTCAGTTTCCTGTCCTCTCCCTCCGTCTTCAGGTGCTGGGTCCCTGCCTCCTTAGCATCACTCAAACCCAGTCTCTTGTTTCCACCTCTTTGCCAGTCTCTCAGCTGGTGCCCTCCTCTCCTGCCTAGGCAATTGCAGTAGCCTCGCTGTCTTTTTTATTCACCTCTTGTGATCCCTCTTCATACTGAAGTTACAGGCTCTCAAGTATAAATCTAATTGTATTATTCCAAATCCTTAATTTTCCCCATCGTTCTGGCACAGTGTGAACTTCACTGGCCGCTACCTCTCCAGACTCACTTCCCCAGCGCCATCCTCCCCATGGCCTGACTCTCCAGCCTGGCCACATTTCCCAGAGTCTAAGAATTCTCCTGGCTTCCTTATGAGCCTCCATCTTTTTTTAAAAGATTTTATTTATTTATTATGTATACAATTATCTGCATGCATGCTTGCACACCTGAAGAGGGCACCAGATCTCATTACAGATGGTTGTGAGCCACCATGTGGTTGCTGGGAATTGAACTCAGGGCCTCTGGAAGAGCAGTCAGTGCTCTTAACCTCTGAGCCATCTCTCCAGCCCATGTGCCTCCATCTTGAAGTGGAACTTCCTGATTTCCCCGTCATACTGAACGCTTGCCTAGGTATCAAGGTAAGGTCAAGATGACCTTTCCTATCTGAATCTCCTCTCCAGGTAGAATGGAACAATTACTTTATATATTTACACATTTAATACTTTGTCTCTTTTTCTTGTCTATCAGACTTGAAGCAGCACATTTCCTCAGTGTATGGCCTGTAGAATGTATTTAATAAATGTTTGATGGATGAATAAGTCAATGAATTAATAATAAATAAACCTTGTTTCTCTGCTTTCCAGTGAATCAGTCAGAAAGGAGACACCATGACAGACACACTCAGACTTCCAGTGAGTTATGAATGTCACTGCTTGTAGGAGAGAGTGCAGATACTTGGAAACCCAAGAGCTCTGTGATTAGTCCTGATTGAGAGACCAGGCTTGGGAAATGAGGAGTATGCTCAGAACGTTACAGGCCCGAGTATCTTAGGAGTGATGCAAGGTACCCTGTGGTCCAGAGAGGAGGCTGAGGACACACATATTTATCTTCATCATAACAGGGATGGCCTAGTAATCCCTCTGTGCATCTTATTTCTACATTTCTTCATCGTGGTCTTCAGGCCTGAATACCAGCTGTGGTATTGGTTCTTAAGGATACCTTGGGTGTGTGGGTTTGATTTGTGAGAGATTCAAAGCCCAGAAGGAGGGAGACCTCTTCCTGTAGATATTGTTTGGGATGAGAACCAACAAGGCAGCTGCATGTCTGGATGGAGGGTGAGGGTCCTGGTGGGAATATGTACTAGCATGTGCCATCGGAGGTGTTTGAACCTGGGAAAGCCTCTGAGGAGGACCTGGGGGTTGAGAAGCCATGTCAAGCTTCCTTATCTTGGGGTTCTTAGAGTCTAGACCTGAGTCTAACCCTGAAAGTGGGGATATTGTGTCTGTCCCTTGAAATGAGGACAGGTATAAATTTTGGGCAAATGGGAATGTCTTCAGGAGGAGTAAGGCAACTACCTAGTTGGAATTAACCTATTAGAAGCAAACTTGCTGATGAGGAGAAACTTCCAGGGTATAGTAAGGTCATTGGGAAAAGAAACACAGACGGTAAGAGAAGAATAGGAAGAAGAGGAGAAGGAAAAGGAAAGGGGAGAAAGGAAGCAGAGTTCTTGTTCCACCGTGGTCCAGCATGAAGGACTAGAGACCCACATAGCTACAAAGACACTGTCCAGGAGCCTTAGCCTTAGAGTACAGAGAACAGTAAACCAAGGGATCTGTGGCTCCATGGTAGGTCCTGTCCCCATGTCTCACAGCTGGGGTCTCATCTCTAAGTTCTGCCAGACTCCACACTGGAAGGAGACACGCTGTCTCTAAAATGTCAGGGATGAAGTACACAGTGTCTCAAGTGAAGTTCTACAAAGATGGATAACACCTTAATTTCTCTAATGCATCGATCCTGTTCATAGAAATAGCAGCAATCGAAAACAGTGGCCCGTACAGCTGCAGTGGGCAGGTGATGTACTCTATACAAACCTTAGCATCAGTCATGGTGAATCAAGTCCATGGGGAATTGCTTACTAGCTGGTGGGTACTGGTGTGACAGGAGAGTGACCGTTGGGGGTCCTAACCCTCCAGGGAGATGCAGGTTGCTCAGGGATCCAGCCTCTAGTGATCAGTAACTCTCTGTGCAGGACCCCTCTCTCCAGCTGGTGTTGGGCCAGTGCACCAGGTATGGAGGTTTCTCCAATGATGTCTGCTGTGGTTTGAAAGAAAATGGCCTCTACGGGAGTGGTTCTAATGAGAGGTGTGGCCTTATTGGAGTAGGTGTGGACTTATCAAAGGAAGTGTGTCACTGTGGAGGCAGGCTTTGAGTTCTCATATATGCTCAAGCCATTCCCAGTGAGACAGACCACTTCCTGTTGTCTGTGAGTCAAGATGTAAGAACTCTCATCTCCTTCTTTAGCACCGTGTCCGCCTGCATGCTGCCATTTCCCTCCGTGATGATAATGGACTAAACCTCTGAAACTTTAAGCCACCTCACGTAAATGTTTTCCTATATAAGAGTTTGTGTCTCTTCACAGCAATAGAAACCCTAACCACGACTATATCCATTGTTCCTTCACCCCCTTGGGGTGTGTCTGGAGCTAGGAGCAGCAGGAGATTAGGTGCATTCTTGGACAAGCTCAACCATTTACCCTTCCTCTTTGAGGACCGGATGACCACTAAGGCTTTCTGGCTGTGACTCAGGGATGCCAGAAGGATTTGTCTATGGAGAAGTTGTTTTAGAGTTCCCCGGATAAGGACAAGACAGGCTCTGGATATGAACTTGCCTCTTGTCTGGGTTTCATCACTGTAGTCTGTGAGCTATGTTGAGGCTCAGTTCTCAGCCTCGTGGGCTTTGCTTTCCAGCACTCCTTTTCTGAACCCTGGGATTGTGTCTCCTCAGAGCTCTTCCAGAACCCTGTGCTGAGCCCCATTAGATCTCCAGAGCCTCAACAGGGCAACCGTCTGACTCTGAGGCATCAGATGAAGCTAGAGATCAGCTTCATGGCTACTCTTTTCCACCTACAAGATGGACATGCCTTGCAAAACGTGATCATCACCCAGAATTCCGCATCCCAGGAGTCAAGGAGGGGCACTATGGACTTTACTGATGTGAGGTAACCCCTGAGGACGGCTGAGTTCATAAACAGAGCCCTTGTCTATAGGGGACTATAGGATAAGTGGGAAAGGGAGGGGAGGCACTCCCCAGAGATCTAGGCATCAGGGGTTAGGAGTCCTTTAGGGTGGAGCAGGGTTTTTCATGGAGGAGGAAGCCTGCAGCCCAAAAGGTAAGGCTGGCCTTCTCATCTTGCCTGCCATTCAGTGCCTGAGTCTTGACTTCTGCTCACTCTGTGACAAGGGAACTCTCAACCTGTTGTAAGAAACAGCCATGTTCTCCCTTTATTGGGTGATCTTGGGGGAACTGCCTGCTTCACCCTAGCACAGTTGGCTTCCTCTTTCTTCCCAGTGACGTCAGAGTGGGGGTACCAGTAGCTCCTTCTGGGAGGTGAGTTCATTGTCACCAGAAAGAGGCTCTCCTAGGTGGTGTATCTTTTTTTCCATGTAGAACCTCAGCTTTGGGCCTGGGATTGCCATTTGCCTTCCAACCTCATAGCCTGATGGGAGTGGAGAGCTTGGAGTGGGCAGATAGGTAAAAGGAGAGGAAGCACAGTTCCATGGAGCCACAGGAGTTGTGATTTTTTTCCCCCTAAAGATCTCGCCAGTGCTAAGCCCTGTGTATCTTGACCTGTGACATTGGCATCTGCCAGGCTGGGTGAGAGAGACAGGCACACAACATATGAACAGGGAGACACAGAGGTGCAGGAGTCTTGTGTGCAGTTGAGCTCAGGAGACCTGCAAATGCCCATCACTCTCTGAGGTTGTAGATGTCTTCCAGAGCTGACAGCATTTTTTGTTTCTCCTGATTGGATGAGCCACTGACGTGAGATTATATGCCATGCTACATAGAGAGTTCACAGCCTCTCAATCAGGTAGGTATGTGGTGTGTGTGTGTGTGTGTGTGTGTGTGTGTGTGTGTGTGTGTGGGTGTTTGTGTGTGTGTGTTGGGACCCACAAGACTCTCAGAGTGTCAGAGGAAGGACAGCAGCTGTTTGTTTCACTCAGGTGCTACTAAAGTTTTCTTCAGAGTGGCTCTCACACTCTAGAGTCCAAGGGTCATCTACACCCTCAAGTAACTATCTTTCTCAAATGGCTCTGAGCATCTGCCAGGAGTCCCACCTTTTGCTACACACAAGTCTATCCTAATCCAAATAAATGAGGCAATAAAATAAGCCCAAGACAGGCTGAACCTTCATGCTTTCTTTGGTTCCAGAGATCACTGAGGGATAGGCCTTCTCACCTCACTTAAGTGATGGGCGTCCTGGCTCTCGTCTCCACATTAGGGTACCACAAGCAGTAAAATAAGTTCACGAGGTGGTCATTGGCTTTGGTCATAGAGTCCCTTCTGGAGTTCCTTACCATTGATTTCCTTCAGGGGACTTGATCTCATTACTAATGAAGATCAATAGTCTGGCCATACCTCTGCTAATTTGATTTGATCAGTTATTTGCTCCATCTTTTTCTTTATCTTATCCTGAAGATGAATTTTGTATATGATAGACTAAGAAATTAATCTTCCCTAAAGATTGTTCTAGCTTTTACCCTGAGCTATTGGGATTTAATTTTAGAGCCTTCCATGCCAGGTATGATAAGAATGGCTATTTGCCTAGAGGTGTTGGTCACCAGACAATCCAACAATGCAATTTACCATGGAGGCTAAGAGCCAAGTATGATGCTTTCTCCAGAGAACTAGAGATAAAAGGTATCAGCCTAACCTTTGGACGGGCTAGGAGATCAAGGTTAGCCATGTGGGTGGCAGCGTGTGATCTAGCTCCAATAAAAATTCCAAGGCTTGGGTTTATAATGCATGAGGAAACAGTGTCCTAACCCACGTGAGACATCATGCATGCTTAATATTTCTCTGAACTCCTAGGTGCTGCTTCTCTGGGATAATTTTAATCTGTATACCCTTTCCCTATACTAAATGACAGCTAGGACTATAACCATTTCAAGTACGTTCAGTGAGTCCTTCTAGCAAATTACTGCAACAGTGGGCAGATTTGAAAATTCCTCAGACTTGGCAACTGGTGTCAGATTGAGGGCAATCATTTTGTGGACTTCATTCCCTCTAACTGTACACTTGGTTAAAAACTCACACGCCGTTCAAAGTCCACGTAATGTGAAAAGCTGAAGTACCAGCTGGTTAGGAATGTGAGGCTCGAAGAAAGAGTAGGCAAATCAGTTGCAGTTAAGGAATGAAGTCAGGGTCTAAGCTGCATCCATTAGTGCTCTCTCTCTGCCTGAGGTGGTCTGGCTTCCTAGCAGTGACTGAGAAAGAGTGGCAAACTACATCAAGAGCACAGGAATGCCCAGAGAAACGCCGTTCCTTCCTTCCAGTGGGAGGCATTTTTTTTTTTTTTCCTCTCAGGAGGACACTTAACGGTAACAAACAGCATCTTGGTCATATCTTTTTTATAACTCCAAAGAATAGTCCCACTTTAATCACACCCTTTCATATACACTGTGAGTTTTGTAGCAAAACATCTGACTGGGCAAGTCTGCACAGTCCTCTTTGATACGGCTTAGGTTGCATCATTCTTACTGTCCAGCTCTCACAGGTTAATGATTCACAGTGGGAGCTGTTCTCCCTTCCTCTAACACTAAGGAGCCTCTCAACCAAAGCAGGCATCCATTACTGTGAGGGCGTATAACATTTTTGTGGGGCTAAGTCATAACGAGGGTGATAAACACAGTTTTAAAGGATTTTCAGTGGAGTTGGGGAGGGCTTCATAAAAGGCAACCCATCATTCTCCGTAGAAGTCTGGGAGTCCCACCCACCTGCTCCTGAGCAGAGGGTATCCACAGGGGTTTAGTTAAACTGCTGAAATGGGCTAGAGCAGTCCAATTTTCACTGTATTGGGGTTCTTGTAATATTTCCATTGAAAGGAGCCTTCATACCTTTTGTCGGTTTTGTTTATTTTTAAATTATTTTTAGTTATTTTTTTTATGTGTATGGGTGTTTTGCCTACAAGCATGTGATCTTTTGAAAACTGAAATGAGCTGGGCATTGGTGGTGGCACATTCCTTTAGTCCCAGAACTCAAGAGGCAGAGGCAGGCGGATCTCTGTGAGTTCAAGGCCAGCCTGGTCTATAAGAGCCAGTTCCAGGACAGCTAGGTCTACACAGAGAAACCCTGCCTCGAAAAACAAAACAAAACAAACAAACAAACAAAAAACAAACCCAACAGCAATAAAACAACAACAACAAAAAAAAACAAAGAAAGAAAGATGAAGTGGTTGGGACCAGGTGCTTGCTCTGCAACCCCCCCCTGCCCCCCCCACAGTACAGTTATTCACAAGGACTGCAGGGATCACCAGGCTTAAGAAAGCTCTCCTTCCCACTCCTTCTTTCCCTGCTTACTGAATGCCCTAAGTCTTCCATTTTTCCTTTTGTCCCTTAATTTCCTCTTCTAGTAGAGTTTTTATTTTTTATTTATTTATTTTTTTGCATCTGTGTGTGTGTTTTGTTTTTTTGTGGAGTGGGGAATCCCTTTCCCTACTTCTTAAATGTTTCCATTGATTGAGAGAAACAAGGGAAACCTCTGAATTCCAGGTTCTCTGAGATCCTGTCTCAAAATCGCACAATATTTGGTCTAGACTCCAAGTCACCTCAATAAGCCAAGACCAGGCTGCCTCACAGCCTCTCTCAGAAGAAAGATGTAGCCCAGAGAACAAAGTGTCCTGGAGCATTGGGAAGCCGTTGTAAGTGACTAGTCCTTTGGGGAACTTGGCAGGGAAGACAGAGCATTTTGTATGTGGTAACAGGAGGACTGCAGGCTGCAGGGAAGGAAGAGGGTTGCCTTCTCAGACCAAAGTATGACATCCAGACTGAGGTCATCCAAGATGAGACATAGAAATGATCTGCAAATAAGTGAATAATCAATGAAGATTTATACATATGGATAAATTAGGATCAGGGACTGTGAACACACTGTAGCATGAGCACCACAGAAGGACACTTCCTGGCCATACCAAGATATTCCAGGGTAGACAAGGTGCTCAAGGTCCACGGAGGGCAGAAGGAGCCACATTACAGAGATGAGCAGGATAGACTGTTGCTGGGCTGTTGAATCTTAGCTAGCATCCTCTCCTCCAGCCCAGTGGTCCTCAGCCTTCCTAATGCTGCAACCCTTTAATACCTCATATTGTGACCCCCCAAACATAAAATTATTTTTCTTGCTACTTCATAACTGTAATTTTTCTACTGCTATGAATCATAATGTAAATATCTCATATGTGGCCCCCCAAAGGGGTCATGCCCCACAGGCTGAGAATCATGCTTTAGCACCAAGCTCCCAGGCAGCCTTCTGTTATAACTCCTCACATTGACTATATAGGGAGAAATGTCAGGGTGGGGCTGCTGCAGTTGGTATATCTGACCTGAGCACCGTAACCACAGGGCATTTCCTTTCTTTCTTTCTTTCTTTCTTTCTTTCTTTCTTTCTTTCTTTCCCTCTTTTCTTTTCTTTCTTTTTTTTTTTTTTTTTTTTTTGGTTTTTCGAGACAGGGTTTCTCTGTATTGTTCAAAGGGCATTGTCTCTTGTCTCTACTCTTTAATTTTGCTTGGTTTTTTCCTCACAGTGCTTCATTACGGTGTGATAGATATTTACTGACCATTGCTCTTCTTTCTCTAACCTCTACTCCAATGATATCGAGAGGCCCATGTTTTCCTCTTCACCCCTACATCCTACACCCGGGATGGTGTCTTGCTTTTAGATGAAGCTTAATAAATATTTGCAGGATGAATAGCTGGTTTCATGTCAGTCGATGACAGTTCTGATAAAATGAAGAATGATCACAGATTCTGATCAATTCTGGGATCGTGACAGCGTTTACTGCAAAGACTTGGAGCCTGAGCAGTAGTGAGTTAACAAAGAAAGAACTTCAGCATGCGCAAAGCTGTCTGGGTGGCCAGCCGGCTCTCCCCGCTCCTCTTGGTTTCCTGATGCTTGCTGTGTGCACTTCTGGTCTCAAATGCGAATCAATAGTAACAAACGACTACATCCAGTAATTAGTAAGACACCAATATAGTAATGACAGTTACTAAGTACTTTCTATGTTCCAGGACATCTCCAGATTTGGCCCTCTTATACTGCGAAACCACGTAATCAAGTAAGATCCCACCAACAGGATACCGGAAGTCATTCCATCTCACCCAAGTCGGAATGGCGATCATCAAAAGCAAATGGCGACAGATGCTGGTGAGGATGCGAGAGAAGAGGAACATTTTTCCCTACTGACAAGGGTATAAACTGTTGCAGTCACCATGGAAATCAGTGTGTAGATTCCTCAAAAAACTAAAAAAAACGAGAACCACCGTACTAGCATTCTTGGGTGTATACTCAAAGGAACTGGAGTCTACCAATCACAGAAATACTTGCACATACCTGTGTGTTGGCACACTATTCACGATGGCCAGCCAGGAAGTGGAGCTAGCTTAGCTGCTCGTCAACAGATGGATGCATAAAGAGAAGGTGGTGCATATATACAATTGGATTTTATACAACAAAGATGAAGTCAGGACATTTGCAAAGATATGGACTGAAGTTGGGAATTGTTGAGCCAAATAAGCCAGACTCAGATAAAAACACGTTATGTTTTCTCTCATATGCATAACCTAAATTTAAAACTCTGTGTGTGTGTGTCTGTGTGTGTGTGTACGCACACACAGACAACTGAAAAGGGTGTGTGCTGGGGATTATTTTAAGTGAGCTGGGAAATAGAGTAATGGCCATTCACAGCTGGAAAATGATGTGCGACACTCTTTGGGGGAGAAACCAGCGGGAGAAGGCAGTGGGGGAAGGAGAAACACTTGGCAACAAAGTATAATGGCCCATATGAAGTAAGATGCTGTGATGAAAGCCATTACTTTATATGCTAACAAAACAAATTTTAAAAAAGAAAAAACAAAGCAAATAATACTAAAAAACCTGATTTTGGTCCCAACTTTGCCTTAAGTTTTGTGGATTTGAAGTTGTTCTACATCCCGGACCTGTGGATTTTATATTTGGATTTAATTTGTAAAATGAGAGTTTGGGCGAGCTCAGTAGATTTTTTTTTTTTTTTTATGTTCTTTGAAGCAACTTACTTTCCAGAAAGCCCTGCCTCTGAACCCCCCATGTGTGAAGAGATAAAAGCAGAGTTCTCAGGACTGGTACCCACAGCCATGAAGCAGTCTGTGAGGCTGGTCTATGCAAAGCCCAGGAGAAGAGGTTAGAGCTGGTAGAGCCCCTCTCATAGGCTCCCTAGAGCCCAGCCAAAGAAGAAAACAGACATTGTCATTTCATGGCTTTGCTCAGGGGAAACAAACCTTTTGTGACTGGAGACAAAGGGCATCACTTGGCTGGGGAGCTTCCTCCCTGTAGAGCTGAAGAGCAGGGCTGCAGCTTTCTTCCCAGTGTCCAGCACACTCACTTGGCGGCCTCGAATGGTGAGCAGGGGGTTCCTAAAATCCATCCTCCACACCTTCATCCTGATTCAGTGGGTACGAAGTGGCCAGCATTTTAACCATCTCTCTGTGTGATTCTAAGGCACTGGGACAAAGTCTGTACTTTATTAATAAGAGCAATTAACATAAGAGGATCAGAGGACATAGATAAGTCAAGGGAGCCACTTTGGGATTCTGGGATATGTGATACCGATGAGACAAGGACTTAGTTGTTCAGAGGTGTAGCTGGGAGAACAGCCTTAGGCATGACATGGCTGTATGCTTAAAGGTCAGTCTGGTGGACAGGCTGCTGCTGGCATGGGAAACATGGAGCTGAGCCGTGCGTCCCAGGGTCAGTGCTCCTTAAGCTGGCTGATGGGTGCCTTTGGCTTACCTTCCTTATCTTAGATTCTGGCATCTCCTTTTCAATAACCACAGATGGTTGTTGATAATGAGGGGCCTCTGGTCTTCATAATGCCAGCGTTAGTAACCACCACAGCTCACATTCATGGAGACCTCACCATGGACCAAGCTCTATGCTAAGTGCTTTTCAGGCATTATATCAACTTGGTTTTCACCTTTGGAGAGCATGTGTGAGAATCTTGCTCTGCACAGGAAGGAGCTGAGCAGTTCAGTTCCGCTTGTATGGCTGCCTGCTCCAGGTCTCAGGGTGTTTTGTTGTCCATTAAAGCCAAGGGTAGCCCTTTACTTTCTTGACACCTGCAAACCTTTCCACATCTCTGCTTGTTCTTTCTGATTTGAAGAGAGGACCATCTAGTGATCTGAGATGGGTCCCTTTTCCTGGGTTCTGGATGTCACCTCTTTATAACCTTTAGGTTGCTTCTTGTCCAGTGTTACGATAAATCTTTCCGCCAAAAGCTCCCAGCCCCACCGCCACGTGTGCGCTTTACGCCAGCTGCCTGCCCGAGTTAGGGCCCAAATTAATGCTCAGAGACTTGTATTATGTACAAATGCTCCTTAGCCAATGACTAGGATTCTCATCTGTTAGCTCAGTCTCAATTATCATAAATCTATATATTTTATAAGACTTATCTTATAGAGGATGCCTTCCGCTGGCACCCTCCCTTGCCGGTGGATCACATTGCGCTGCTGGAGGAGGAGCAGAGGGGAAAGGGGGACACTTCCTGTTTCCTTTGCTTAAATATGAGTCTCCTTGCTATGTCACTTCCTGCCTGGATCACCACTTCTCTACTACATTTCCCAGAATCCTCTTTGACTCCTAGTCCTGTCTAACTTACTGTCTCATTGGCCAAACAGTATTTTATTCAATAATCAATAAGATAAACATACAAAGAAGTACATTCCCCATCAGTCCAGTATTTGGCCACATGGATGAGAAAATTACAAAAGTACTGTTTTCCCATTCAAATACAGACCTCCAAAATAACCTGGATGGAAGAAATATTTCTGGGGGTGGTGATCCAAGCAGGACTGCAGAAAATGAGAAAGAGAAGGGAGAAAAGCCAGTCAAGGGTGTGTCTAAGGTGAGTGCTGGTGTGGGCAATGAGGGCTCCATCATTCTTAAGAGCCATGGGGAACAAGCCTCATAATTGTCTCAGTGAAGGTCAAGGGGGCAGGGACATTCACCCAGTACTCCATTGACTGGTTTATACCCTTTACTGCTACTGCTAAGATGAACCAGTGCTTGGGTTGAGTTAGCCTCTCTCTGCTGCAGTAAAATCCAAGCAACAAAAAAGCAGAACACACCCAGGATGAAAACTTCAGCAAGTAATGTAGGGAGGAGGGTGGCTTAATCATAAAAAACTGTCTAGGATAGAAATCCAGTGCCAAAGAGACTCCGCAGAAAACCTTAAGTGCATGGTATAAACCAGATGTTGGAGTGGATCCCTTCCTGCTTGTCTACCTGAGCTGCCAATATGATAGATGCCGGGAGTTCAAAGGCAGAGTGAGGGAGACCAGATCTCCCCTTGCAGAATTGCAGTGGAAATTAAGAAGAACCTGCATCACTGCTCTGAGAACCCCTCATCCATGGAGAGAGGTCAACTGAGAAAGCAACATCCTTGGATATAGGATCCGTTACATTGGAAGAGTCCCCTGCAGAAGACAGCCTGAGAGAACAGCAGCCTAAGGCAGGCCCAGAAAAGTTAAAATTGACTATGGATGAGGACCTGACTCCAACTAGGGAGCTAGAAGCATGGTACTACACTGTAGATCCTAGAATCTGTCAGGTAAATAATATTTACAGTGACCAACCAATGAGACATCGCCTGCTTTGTTACCCAGGGAGCACTATAATAGGGGCACTTGAAGAGGAGTGTGTGTGTTTGTGTGTGTGTGTGTGTGTGTGTGTGTGTGTGTTCTGTGTGCATGTGTGTGTTTGTGAAGGGAGGTATGTTCTACACGTCTAGGGATAGAGGAAGGAATTGTGAAGGACCATCTAGAATAGAGATACCTTAACCATCAGAACTCAGCAGTCAGAGTAGAACAATTTGTCATCCCCACTCACCCATCTGTCTGGAAATGGAATCATGAGCTGTGGGAGACATTGCTGGGAGCGCCAAGGAGGAAAGGGCAGGGGTGGTGATCTAAGCGTGAGTGGGACAGGGACTTCCCTCTCCCATTGTGTTCCTACGCTAATGGGTAGAGACTATTTCACTGTGACTTAGGTTTGGAGTTTTAATGTATCACATGGCCTAAGAACTTCTCATTTCTGAGCTGAGACTGGAGATCAAGGGCAAAGTTCTCATCCAGGGCAGGAGTAGACTGCAGATATGAGTAAGATTCAAAGGGCAGTGAGAGAGAGCAAGGGAGCTTCATTTGGATCACAATCCATGAGCTGGAGCAGCACTTCTTTGGAAATCATGAGAAGTGACTCTCTCCAGAGTGGCCTGGAAGAGCTCAGTGAGATGTAGATAATTATTTTTCTCTTTCCAAAGATGCAATCAGCTATTTATAGTTATGGGGACCTGTTCAATAAATGTGAGTACAGCCCTCTCTGGCTATCAGCACACTTACTGTAGCAGCAATGGAGATGCCTTTTGCTCTCCCTTCAAGAGAAAACTTCCCTTCATCTGCAAAGAGTGTTAGGAGCTGACAGTCTTGAGCTGCAGTCCTCCAAGGTTCACCACTTCTAGGGCAGCCCCAGCCAAGAAACTACACACATGGTGGGCATTGGTACATGATACTCTTGCACAAGATCTAGCTAAGGCATCCTCTACTGGACAACACTGAGCCGGAGCTCCTATTGAGCTAGCAGATTGAGATGCCTACATCATGGTATCATACTCTCCCAACTTGCTCCTGCTTTCTCCTCCATTATCTTTCACAGGCATTTTCTCTCCCATGAAGCCTCCTTTATTCTTGACTCTTGGACTCTTAAAACTCTGAGTATCACACCCATGACCTTGTTTTCTTTTTTATCTTGTTTTAAATTTTGTATAGTTCATTAAAAAAAACTGGTAAAATTTTGTGTACATTCATCATGTACAACTTGTTGCTTTGAATCATGTATATGTGTGTGTGTGTGTACATTATGGATTGACTAAATCAAATTGACACATTATTAACTGCCTCAAATCATTTTTTGCACTATGCACACAAAATCTATTATCAGCTATTTCTGAGAATATTATATATCAACTGTGTATGAGATTAACTGTAGAGTAGATCATGTTGTATAGTAGATCTGTTGAACTTATTCCTTGTGTCTGTCTGAAACTTTGTGTCCTATGACCACTGTCTCCCCATCTGACCTGAGCCCCAACCCCTGAAAACAACCACTCTAAGCTCATGTGACATTTGACTTTCTGTGGATGCCTTGTTCCACTTAGCACAACTCATTCTGGTTCATCGCTGCTGATGCAGATGAGGTTTCTTTCTATTTTTAAGGTCAAATAGTATCCCATCACGTGTATGTACCACATCTGCTTTACCCATCCATTTATCCACTGATGGTTACGTGGTTTGCTTCCTTTTCTTGGCTATTGGGACTAATGTTCCAGTACACGTGGGATTGCAGATAGATCTTCAACATATTGATTTCATTTCCTTTGGATACAGATCAAGTAGTCGGGATTGCTGGATCTAATTTCTTTTCAAATAGATGGGAAGACTGGTTTTAAAAACTTTCAGGCTCAAGTTAAAACCTGACCTGTATCTATAGACAATCCAAATCAAAGAGGCTTGGTACCCATAATTTGGAGCACAAGAACTAGCGTTCTCTCCCCTTCCCTTAGCAGACCTTTCTCACCCTTGAGGTCTCATCCTCCGTATCTTTCCTCTTTGAGAGTTTTTCCTCAATCCTCCTGACTTCAACTTGGCTCATTGGAGGCTCTTTTCATTTTCTTTTTTGGTCATTGTGGCAGTTTGAATGAAATTGGCCCTCATAATCTCATAGGTAGTGGCACTATGAGGAGGTGTGGCTTTGTTGGAGTGGGTATGGCCTTGTTGGAGGAAGTGTGTCACTGTGGGGGTGGGCTTTGTTGTTTCCTATGCTCAGGATACTGCAGTGTCTCAGTTGACTTCCTGTTGCCTTTTGTTCAAGATGCAGCCAGCACCACATCTGCACACCACCCATGCTCCCTGTCATGATGATAATAGATTGAACTTCTGAAACTGTAAGTGAGCCACCCCAATTAAATGTTTCCTTTATAAGAGTTGCTGTGATCATGGTGTCTCTTCATAGCAATAAAAACCCAAACTAAGACGGTTACAAAATACCATTTTTTCTTCCTTGTCATAGCATAGAACTTGTTGAAATGAACACTGGTAGAAACTTAAAGGCTGTCCAGTTTGAGGATCCATTTGCTGTCAGAGATGCTGTAGACCGTCTGAACAAGTGACTGTCCAGTATTAGCTCGAATACAGGGAATGAAAGCTATCTACATAGCCCATTGCACCCCTACAGCTAAAGCTTATCTTTCCTTTCCTTCCTTCCTTTTTAACTGTTTTTAAATTTCAATTATAGTGTCTGTGTGTGCATATGCCTGTGTGTGTGTGTGTGTGCATGTTTGTGCAGAAGGAGGAGGTCAGAGGGGTACCAGATCACTTAGGCTGGAGTTACAGGCAGTTGTGAGCTTCTTGATGTGGGTGCTGAGAATCAAACTTGCATCCTCTGCAAAAACAATATGTGCTCTTAATGACTGAGTCATCTCTCCAGCTCAAAAAAAAAAATTTAAACTTTTTCCTTAATACATATCCTCCAACATAATGGGTATCCCTATAATGCTTTCATATATGCATCTAACATAATCTGATTTTACTTACTATCTATGATTGTTTTTTGTGTCCCTCCCATCCCCACTCAGTCTCTCTTTCCTTTTCCTAAGCAGTCTTCCTTTCACTTTCATGTCTTCAAAAAATGTAAATTCTGAATATGAGGAAAAAAAAACCCAAACCCACAGCTTATTTTGTTTAGCATGATTACTCTGGTTCCATTTCCTTTTCTACAAATGACATAACTTCATTACTTATGGATGAATAAAATTTATGGTGTATTCATATCACGTCTGCTTTAACCATTCCCCTGTTGATGGGCACTTAGGCTGATTCCATAACAGCTACTGTGAATACCCTTGCAGTAAATTTGAATGTGCAGGATCACTGCAGTATGCTTAGATTCTCTTGAGTACACTACCCAGGAATGGTATAGCTATATCATATGATAGTTTTGCTTTTAGTTTTTTCTTTAAAGAACCTCTATACTGATTTCCATACTGACCCAATTAATTTATATTTCTACTAGTTTCAGTTCTACATATGGCCTCATTTCTTTTATTGTGATAAAATTCCCTAAAAGCAACCTAGAGGAAAGCTGTTTATTTTGGCTCATGATTCCAGGTTGCAGTCTATCAAAGCAGGGAAAGCAGTATCAGGAGACAATTAGTCACTTCTGATTAACAAGAGAAGAGAGAAAGGAGCACATGCGTGCTTGCTTCTTTGCTTGTGCTAACCTCTCACACAGTTCAGGACCCCTGCCTAGGGAATAGTTCTGCCTTCAGGGGGCTGGGTCTTCCCACATCAGTGAACCCCAGAGACAAAACCACAGACTAACTCAGTGTAGATCATCTTTCATTGACACTCTTTTCCCAAGTGATTCTAAGTTGTGTCAAGTACACATGGGAAGCTAACCATTCATCACACTGCCAAGAGTGCACATAGGAGCTCCTTTCTCCAGGGTATGATTTTCTTATCTTGATTCTCTACAATCTCTTCTCAAATCTGATTTTCTCTATGTCTTTGATCAAGATTGATAATCTGAATGATTTAAAATCTTTCTATGATATTAACAATCCTAACTGAAAGTCTTTTAAAGAACTATTATTGTTATTATTGCCATTATAGGGTCTTTCCTAGAACTCACTATGTAGACCAGGTTGGACTAGAACTCTGAGCAATCCACCTACCTCTGCCTTCTGAGTGCTGGTATTAAAAGGTGTATGCCACTATGCCGGACTGAGACAGTATTTTAAAAGAGAATCAGTCTTTTCATGCTGCCTAGTCGGGGTCTATATGATATTTCCCTCAGTTCACATTATAATTTAAAGGGAAACTCACACGATGTCTGGAACCCTTGTCCTGCAAGTGCGGAAAGAGGATGTCCTCAAATTCCTTGCAGTAGGAACCCACTCAGGTGGCACCAACCTTGACTTTCAAATGGAACAGAACATCTGCAAAAGGCAAAGTGATGGTATTTATGTAATCAATCTGAGCAGGACCTAGGAGAAGCTGCTGCTGATAGCTCCAGCCATCATTGCCACTGAGAACCCTGCTGATGTCAGCCTCATCTCCTCAACATCTCCTCCAGGAACTCCTGGGGCCAGCCAGCTGAAGTTTGCTGCCACCACTGGAGCCACACCAGATGCTGGTCACTTCACTCTTAGGACTTTCACTAGGCAGATCTAAGAGGACTTCAGGGAGTGATGTCTTCTGGTGGTGACCAATCCCAGAGCTGACCACCAGCCCCTCACAAGGCCTTACGCCAACCTGCCCACCCTTGCTCTGTGTAACAGATTCTCCTCTGTGCTGTTGACATTACCATTTCATGCAACAAACAAGGGTGCTCACGGAAATGCTGGTGGATGCTGGCTTGGGAAGGTCTGCACACTTGTGGCACCATCTCCGGTGAGCGCCAGTGGTGCTCATCTGGTCATGCCCGATCCCTATTTCTGTAGAGATCCTAAGAGACTGAAAAGGAAGAGCAAGTGCAGCTGAAAAGGCTGTGACCAAGAGGGAGTGTCATGGGGAATGGACTGCACCTGCTCCTGAGTCTACCACTCCCAGATGGAGGTGGCTGACTGGTCTGAGGGCGTGCAAGTGTCCTCTGTGCCCATCCAGCAGTTCCCCAGTGAAAACAGGAATGTTCAGACGGTCACTAGGGACAAGTTTGCAGCCCTCACTGTGCAGGGTGCTGAATCAGATGGAACCACCACTAAACAGTCATAAACTGTGTTCTGTAGGCACTTGAGCAAGAGAAAGCTGGATGGAAGAAAGTTTTTTTTTCTTTTCTCTCTCTCTCTTTTTTAAGACAGGGTTTTTCTGTAGCTTTTGTAGCCTGTCCTGGAACTCACTCTGTAGACCAGGCTGGCCTCGAATTCACAGAGGTCCTTGCCTCTGCCTCCCGAGTGCTGGGATTAAAGGCGTGTGCCACCACTCCCTGGTGACAGTTTCTTAAAAAAAAGAGATTAATCCCCCATCCCCAAATAGCATCACAAATGGGAATACAAATAGCTTTAAACAGAAAGAAAGACTTCTCTCACTCATCCATTCTAATACTGTGAACGTGCATTCAACAGGGGCCAGGAATAGTGAAACGTACAGAGGAAATAGAATCTGAGGAGATAAAGACCACAGCAACACAGGAAATAGAGGTGGTGGGAGAGCACCCTGAGGGCCGACAGCAGGCTAGGGTGTGAATATATGATTTCTATGGGACCTGGACATACAGAGCGCTGGAGATAGACACTCTTTATTAGGAAGTGAGATTTGAGCTGAGTTTGGGGGATGGGCAATCTGAATCTGTGGCTAAGTCATCTGACTGTTAGTCTGGGGAGAAATGTCTTTCCATGGGGGCCAGGGAGGGGCTTAATGGGGACAGAGGAAGTTGGAGTGAGAAGTATTTCCCCTCTCTGCTTCCTGTCAATATCAATCAGTCATTCTTCCTATAGGTACCCCTTACCAGCTTGTGTGTCCACAGCCTGGGGAACTGACCAAGTCACTCTTCCTAGGCAAGAGCTGCTGACATGGGGGCCCTTCTCTGGTCACTCCTTCTGCTCCTTCAGGAAGGTGAGTGGGAGCCTGTTGCTGCATAAGACTATCTCTGTAGTCCTCTGCTCTACTTGGTCTTAGGCTAGCAAGACCCTTCCTTTAGGGATGAATGTGTCAGTCCTTCTGTTGATGGGCACCGAGGCTCATTCTCTAGCTCGACTAATGTGACGCGCTCTGCAATAACGTGGATGTGCACACATCACTGTAGTATGTTGACTTGGATTGTGCCGAGTATGTACCTGAGAGTGATATAGCTGGATCCCAAGCTAGTGTGGAGGAACTTCCATTCTGATCTCCAAGGGATGGGGTATGATGACCTCAGCGGAGGATGAGAGGGGAGGATACCTGGGGGACATGGGTGGGGCTGAAGTTCCAGAAGGACAAGGAAAAAGAAAGTTTTTGGATGGTGAAGAGATAAATGGGAACCATCCCTGGTCAACTTGGGTGCAATGGTAATCTGGAACTCCAAGAGGTAGCTAGAGGGTCCCACTGAGCATGGAGCTAGAGAAGGTGTTCAGAGGAGGAGGAGCCGTAGCTACCCTGCTAACTAGCCTTGGCCTCCCAGGGATATCAGCTGGGCGCTATGCATCTCTTTGCAGCTAAAGGGTTTTCTGGAGATGATGAGGACCCTGAGGAAGTGGTTGCAGCTCTTCAAGAGTCTATCAGCCTTTCTCTGGAAATACCATCCAACGAAGAGGTTAAGGACATCATCTGGTTCTCTCAAAAAAACCTTGTCACAGTGGTGCCAGGGAAAGAGGGAACACCAGCTGTCATCATTGTGATGGATCCTCGATACCAGGGTCGAGTGGGCATCTCAGAGTCCAGCTACTCTCTGCATATCAGCAATCTGACCTGGGAGGACTCGGGACTGTACCAAGCCAAAGTCAGCTTGAATACATCCCAGCTCTCTATCACGAAGTCTTACGATCTCCGTGTCTACCGTGAGTTTAGATTCCCATTATTCTGGCTTTCCCGAGGTTGGCATGGAAGCTCGGGAGCTGAGGGAAGTTTTAGAGGCTGAAATTGGAAGGAAGACTGCCTCTAGTGTGCTCTGTCCCAGTGTCTGAGCTTCAGCCACGGGGAGAGTGAGCTGGAACAAGGAGGCACTAGGCCTGAGGCTGCTTCCATAGATATTCCCAAAGCAGTGAGAGAGATGAGGACCATGAATAGAGCATTTAAGGGTCCTTTCCCACCCAGGAGACTGTGCATCCTCTACATAAACAGCTCTTGAGCCCTTTATCCCCCTGTGTGATTTGAGGGTTGCTAATAATTTCTTCCCCACTTGAACCAACATTTCTTCTTTCCACCTGCCACATTGAATCTACTTAGGACTTGGAGAGATGATTAAAATGTAAATGTCTTTGGGAGGGCGGTAATATTTTATACAATCAGCAAGACAGAAGAGGATCTGGAGGAAGGAGGGGTGTAAAATGAAGAGAGTGAAGTTAGAAGGAGCCACTGGTGTACATCTGTCTAAGCAGATTATTTGGGACCCCAAAACCACAAGCTATATGCTTGTTTTATCTCAAGATAGCAAGAATACCCAAGGCTTGAGAAACTTAGGAAAACAGACCCAACTTCAGAACGTTCACCAGGTCTTTGTGTTTTGTTGTGTTGTGTTTTTCTTTTTTAGGGCGGCTGTCAAAGCCCCACATCACTGTGAACTTTAGGATCTCTGAGGAAGGTGCCTGTAACATATCCCTGATGTGCTCCGTAGAGAGAGCAGGCATGGATGTGACCTACACCTGGCTTTCACCACAGGACAGCGCTAACATGTCTCATGAAGACGCTATCATCAGTACATCTTGGAGGCCTGGTGACAGAGCGCTTTCCTATATTTGTAGGGCCAGCAACCCCGTCAGCAACAGCAGTTCCCATCTCATCCCTGTGGGGTCCTTCTGTGCAGGTACCAGACCCCAAGAGACAATTTCTGAGCTTGTATAAGTCCTGTGCCTTAGGACACCACCTCCTCCCATGCCTGGGGCTCTTAAGGAGAGTATGTGTACTCTAGAATGTGACAATCTCCTGTAGAGGGTTGCTACTGGATTGGGGAGGGACCCTCCCTTTGTCAATTGCTCTGGATTTCCAAAGGATTCTTCTGCACTTGGCTTGAGTCTGATGGTCAGATATCTGTTCTTGAGATACCAGTTCTTGAGCATCTGTGTGCAGAGTAGGTATTTCTAGAGATGTTTGCTATAAGACACAAGCTGATTATCAACCCATGAGCCTCCCTGTGACACTTAGGTAGATGTCTGCTCTCCAAACGTACCGTTCTTCTAATAAACTCTTCTCCTTTCTTCCTATCCTAGATCCTGGCTCTCCTGAGAAGCCTTCAATGTCCTGCCTCCTGGCTAAGGGCTTGATCCTTCTTTTCCTCTTGGTAATTCTAGCTGTGGTGCTCTGTGTCTTCCAAGCCCGGAAAAACTATGAGATGTCAAGGGTGAGGAAACTCAAGAGAAACAGAATCAAACTGAGGAAGAAGGGGAAACTTGGCCCTAGTCTAGACTGATCGCCCCTTGGGGACCTCTGTCCTGAGCTTTGTTTCTTCTTTGCCTCCAGGGAAACCATCTGGGAGACAGGTGGGAGGGAGGATTGGGATTGAACACCTGAAAGGGCCATGTTCCCTGAGAGACACCATCTGGCAATAAAAGTCAAGTCCTCACCTCTCTGGAAGAGCTGTGCTTGATGCTTCTGTTTGTGCTGGACAGCCCTGGGAGACTGTTTCCCACCTTCACTTCCTGTCCAGGGGTCGTTACTGAAACCCATGACCCTTCTCAGGCTTGCCTTTGGGCAGGAAACTGAGTCTGAAGACCCCATTAGAGAGAAGTGTTTGTTTTTACTACATGTAGCCCATTCTTCACTAACCAAGTCTTATAATACTTCAAACCACATAAAAGGCTTTCTCACCTAGCTGAACTGTGATGGCAGTTCATTTAGAATGCTGCATAAGTGTTATGCCCAAGCCACCTCCCTCACTCTACCCCATCCTCATTCTGACAGATAACTCCACTTAACTGTCTGCCTACTTACTCTACCACATCTACATAGACGCTGTCTCACAAGGAGGTGGTGGAATCCCCTGCTCAGGCCTTCTCTGGGATATAGTCGTGCTTAGTGACCTCTGTTGTCTCCCTGATACCAGCTTCTCTGAACCCTGCTGCTCACCTGGTAGGACTGACAACTCACTGGATCAATTACTAAGATCTTGTACCCTTGATTTTGTTTAAGGTTGACATTATTTAGCCCGATGTGGAGGCACATGCCTTTAATCCCAGCATTTGAGAGGCAGAGGCAGGTGGATCTCTGAGTCTGAGGCTGGCTTGGTCTATAAATCAAGTTCCAGGACAGTCAGGGGCTATACAAAAAAAATCCCTGTATAAGTTGATTTTGTTGGCCTTTATTGTTTTCTTATAGATTTCCGTTTTGGGCCTTCTGATTGGAGTCTTTGGTCAATGTAGAGCTCTTTACTCTTGCTCTTTTCATAGCCCTAGGTTTGATGTTCCTATTATATTGTTTCCCCCAAATTAGATTGTGGGTATTTTACATAGGCAACTGCCAGGCTTCAGAGGAGGAGGGTATACAAGAGAAGCCACTCAATAGGACAGGTGTAAGTACTAAATGAATTGGTGGAGGTGATATAGTATGCACCAAGGAGGGAACTGGGTGAGATCTTAGGAGACCTAGGTTTTGCTCTTCCACTTTCCTCTGGCCTAGGGTACTGTTTAGCCTTTGACCCTGAGTTCAGTTCCACAAAGAACACATACTTGAAAGACACACATAGGTGTAGCTTCTTGGAGCTCTTTCAGAGATTCTGGGCCATCTTTAGGTACTGAACAGTCCTGTCTTCAACAAAGGTCTGTAGCCCCAACTTCTGACACTTCCCATGCCTGTCATAGAAGGTGTCACTGCCAGGTGAGGGCCTGCCTGTGCAAACTACCTGGAGTCCATTTTTCATGTGGAGGGACAGCCCATTTCTCTTGTCTTTAGGAGCTGGCAAATAGAAAGCAAATAGAGAAATGAATAGTCCCTGTGTGGCTGGTCCAGGGATCTCCCTGAAGTTGGCAGAGTCCCTTATTCTCAGAGCCAATCTCTGAATAGAGAAAGCCAGCCTGGAGAACAGACAGCCTGGAGAAGGAAGGCTTAGACTTCGAAGAGAGTGTACCCTCAGAAGCCAGGATAATCATCTGGCAGCATGGAAGATACTCTTACTCATTATTCAAAATAGGTTAATGCAAACTGGGGAATGGACATTCAAGCCAGACAGAAAATATACACCAAGATGCTCATATTTGAGGGATCATAGCAACTAGAGATGGCCATATCACACACTGTGACACAGGAGTATGTAAGAAACATGTTCTAAAAGGTGTGAGGACCAGAGCTCATGGACACATTACCAACAGACTCCCTAGGTTCACTATTCTCTGATATTCTCATCCAGAAATTGAAATATAAAAGCTGGCTAATATATTAGATGCAGTCCTGGTTGGCTGAATACATTTTCCAGAGGAGCAGTCACTATGGCTCAAGGACAAGTGGGAGGGAAATCGTCAGTTTTGACCTTAGGGATTACTATCTTAAAAAATCAACTTCACTTCTGGAGTAAGGAGGGAACAGGTCGTAGGACTAGGTTCCCTTTCTTGCAAAAACAAAACAAACACGGAAGATACACCAGTCAGACAAAAATGACAATAATAATAATAATAATAATAATAATAATAATAATAATAAACCAAGCTTTCGGGAAAAGCATGAACATATAAACCTATAAAACTCGAAAACCATTTAAAATCTCATTTTACACACAAAAAAATATTTTAACATGAGATTAGTTTATCTACCAGAAACCACTGCAGACAGCAGAAACGAAACTCTTGGACCAGTGGTGGGGACAGTGCCTTCCAATTGGTAAGGAACCAAGAATCAGAGACTTCCCTTGTGCGCTGTTCCTAACATGACGTCACCTTGCCAACTGTTAGGGCAGCCTACTCTGCAAACTAGTCGCAAAGCCACGAGTTCCAGGTCCTTGTTGGGGTAGTGAGAAAGACCGCGGTTCTGCTCCAGCCTTCTTTCCCTTAGTTCAAGTTCTTTGTGTGTCTCAAAACACTCAGGCACTTAGACCTGGAAGAATATTCCGGCTCTCAGGACTTACTAAGGATGGATAGCCAACAACAGCAATAGGATCAGATGGCCTCCGTAGAGGGTGGTGTGACAGTGTTTCGGGTGTGCTTACAATCTTTCCTCAGGGTCTGCTCCCCACCCCGATTTCATTGACTACATTCCTGTGGGTGAAAAGTCCAAGGGGGGGGGGCGGTTGGACTCCGTGATCCAGGCTGGATCTGAATGCAGGCCCTGAATGTGCCTAGGTGGCAACTCTTGTTGCATTGGCTGTTTTCTCCCTAATCAGAGGGAGCTGCACTCACTTCGCGGGGTCTCAGTGCAGAGTACAGGAGCAATGTACTACAGTACAGCATGAATCTACCCCGGGGCTTGGCACCCTGCAAGGGGTTCAGTGACGGATCAGCCATTTCATTCTTTCTCTTTGTCTCCGTTGTTAGGGTGCCTGTCATTTCTTCCCCCCTGGACTTATTTCTTCAAGTCCTTGGTGCTAGAAGCTGCCCCGGCAGCCCCACACTAGGGGATCAGCCTCCAGGAAGCTACACACAGGGAGGCGCCTGGGCAAAAGCTGGGAGCGAGCCAACACAGACAGGTATTTCCAGTCGAGCGAGAGGAAATGGGTGGGGGTGGGGATAAAGAGAGATCAGATGGGTCCGGGACTTGGGTGGATCCCCAGGGAGGGGGCGGGGAATCCTGCTCTTCACCAGGTGCTCCTGCCCCAGGCTCAGATTTCAACCTTCGATGCCTCCTTTGTGGCACGCTCGTTCGGAAAGGGGAGAAGGCCATAGGTAAGTTACATAGGAGGGAGGGCATGCATGCAAGCAGCCTGCAAAGGGGGTAGGCTCCTGCGGCTCTTGGTGCACCGGTCGGTCTGACCAGTAGCCCATCCGAGTCGAGGCGGGAAGCGGCGATCAGTCTCCCCACGCTTAGTTGTACAGAGCTCCACGAGAGGGCGACTGGAGCCCACGTGCGACCGCGTCCTTCTGTCTCCAAACTACAACTCCCAGGCGGCTCGGGGGTCCCGCCCGCCTTACCCGGCCTCTGTTGGCTCCAATTGGACGCCGCGGGAGGGGGATTGGCGGTCTCCAGGGCGACGGGAGGCGCTCGGGGCATCTGAGGCGGGGAGGCGGGTCCGCCCCCTATTGTGTGGCTGCGAGAGCAGAGCTGTGCGGTGCAGAGCAGGTGAGGGTGGGGGTGTCTTGGGGCGTTATTTGGGGTACTGGCGGGGACATGGGGAGTAGTGAGGAGTTGTGGGGGACAAGGAGGAACGGGGGAGCTCTAGAGAGAAGTGAAATTATCTGGGGAAGCAGAACTAGGGTAGTTCTGGGAGCGAAGTGGAATTACTGATGGGTGAGTGGGGGGTTCCCTGAGATCTGGAAGAATGTTAGAGGTAATTTAGGGGCGTTCTTGGCGGGTTCCAGAAGAAAGGCGTTCCAGGAGCCAGAGAATGCGAGGGAAAAGAGAATTGTTGTGATAGACAATCAGAAGTGTATTGTGGGCTGAGTCCTCAGGATTGGGGGGTGGGAGGTTCCCGGGAGAGCAGGGTGGGGGAAAGGGGAATTCTGGAGGAGGCCAGCCAAGGGTGCTTTTGAAGCGAGGACCTGCTGCAATTGGAGATCAGGTGTGAGAGGCTGGAATTTTGCAGACACTGTGAAAAGTGTGTGGCTGGGATGGGAGTCCTAGAAGAAGCGAGGGAGTGAGTGCTGGATGGGACGAGAAGATCACAAGGACGGAGGGGTGGGTGGGGAGCAGGAGCTGGAAAGGCTCCAGGAAAAGTGGGATGCATTCTGGGGATGCCTGGGGATGTCACAAGAGTCTTGGTCGAGCCAGAAGAGAATGGCTTCTATAGGGTACAACTGGAAGGTTTTCCAGGGAAGTCCAGGAGAGCTGGATGGGTGCAGCTGGAGGAAAGGGAATTAAGTACCAGGGCCCAGGCATACAGGGGCGATACTGCCTCGTGGAGGGTGGAGGGTATTTTACAGACAGCGCTGAATTGTGTGAGGCCCAGAAGAGGGTGGAGGCTTCAGAGCAGAGTCCACTGGGTTTGCCAGGCCCAGGTCAGGGCCCTTTGGCCCTTTGTGCCTGTCTTAGACGCTGAGGAGTTGTTACTGTTCGGGATGCCTACCTTCTGTGCTCCAGGGTTCATTTTGTATTTCTCTCAGATCATGCCTCAAGGGGTAGGGAATGGAGGGCCTGGCAAATCCTGGCACCCCCAGGATACTAGAGAGGAGTGCGTGGGAGTAATTAGGGTGAGGCACTAAGTCGGGGTGTATGGGGGAGGGAGGGCTCTCTGGCAGCATCTTGAAGAAAGTCGCTACAGCTGCCAGCCCTGGATCTGTCCAGACCTGGAGGATGCTGCACCCCTCTCCCATCCCCCACCCCCCATCCCCCAGCAGGTGGGGAAGGCAAGCTCCTCCTCTCCCAAATCCCTGACTAACTCATTGCCAACAGCAGCGTTGTTTGAGTGGACAATGTCTCCAGGGTCCAGGGCTCAACACAGAGGGCGGGAAATGGGGTGAGGAATTGGATGTTTTGGGTGCTCTGTGGAGACTCTCTGCAGGGTAGGGGGTTAGAGTCTATCTGAGATTTCCTCTAGACTAGCTGTCTGCTTCTGAGCAAGATCCTCGTGGTCCCTATTGGTCACACAGGGTGGTGATGAATAATGGCCTTATCTTGTTATCTGTTACCTTGTTGGCATCAGGAGAAAGAAGGGTGAGGAGGCTAGTGCACAATGGCCCTCATCTCCAGGACTTCCCCTGTGTGAGAACCCATAGTTCTCTTTGCTCACTTTGCTAACAACATTGTACCACTTGCCAGGCATTCCCCAGAATTCCTTTGCTTTTTCCAGCATTGGTTCCCTTACCTGTGTCCGTCGTCGTCTCAACAGGATAGCACTCTTGTTTGTGTTCACATCCTGGCTTAATCTCAGGGCTTCAGGATGTCTGGTTTGGAGGCAGTAGTGTAGCTGTGGTGGAGTTTGTCAGGAATGAAGCCCCAGAGTCGATCCCCAGCAGTACAACCCAAAAGATCTCTGGTTTCTGTAAAGGTCCCCTCCTTTCCTCTACACCTTCTTTCTTCCCTGCGCCTTGCTCTAACAGGGCTTTCTTCTGGTCTCCTCCACTGACCAGCTCTTATGTTGCCTTATATTTTGCATTTAGATCTGGTGGCTCTCCAGACTGGACCAGCTCCCTCAGGTGTTGCATGAGCTAGGCATTACCTGGAGGAGTGAGAGCTGAGACTGGTTGCCTGAGGCGGATCAGAACGACCGATGCTCTCTGGGATTGCTGGGCAGTGAACATCCTTCCGGCCCCTCCATCTGGGCTCCTGTGGATAGGAGGGGCCGGGTGAGCAGGCCAGCTGGGCTATGATTTGGTGTCTCAGTCTGACCATCCTCAGCCTGGTCATCAGCCAGGGGGCTGACGGTGAGCCAGACCCCCGGGGATCATCAGCTCTGTTACCCTGGGATGTGACCACTAAGGGGTTACCTGTGAGCGTAGGAGAGGGCTAGGGCTGGCTCAGAGAGGTCGGGGTTCCTCCTGTCATGCAAAGTCTTAAGGAAACTAGAGAGATGTTGATGGAGCCTCCTCTCCCATATCTCATTGTGACCACTTGCTCTTCCCTCATGCTACCCACCACGTAGGTCGAAGGAAGCCTGAGGTGGTCTCTGTGGTGGGCCGGGCTGGGGAGAGTGCAGTTCTGGGCTGTGACTTGCTGCCTCCAGCTGGCCGCCCCCCTCTGCATGTCATCGAGTGGCTGCGCTTTGGATTCCTGCTTCCCATCTTCATCCAGTTCGGCCTCTACTCTCCCCGAATTGACCCTGATTACGTGGGTAAGAGTTGTCCTTAGGTGGGAGGTGGGGGGGAGTGTCACCAACAAAGGTGGGCTGTGCAGGCTGCACTGTGCCCTCTCCAATCGCATCTCCTGCTCCGTGACCCTAACTGCTTAGCAAGCATGGCCCTGCTCCTCAAAGATGCTAACCCATTGAAGGATTCATTTGTTTATACATGATGCATGGGCACGTTAGAGATTTGATCTTTTAGCTATGTGTGGCGTGTGGCATGCACGGGAGATCCTGCATCTCCATTTCAGGTATCCATCCCAACTTGCTAATTATTCTATCCTCATCTCATGCAACCTTCCAGACTCCATCTTGATCTTCTGTAGTTTCCCCACTTAGCCCTGTGCTGGTCTCTGGATCTACTGTCTGCTGCTCTGTGTCTTCCCTTCCCTACTGTCCAGAATAGCAGTTTGGAGGCTCCAGGCTTTTAGGGAATGGGTTAAAGGGACGGCAGAGTGGGTAGGGATGTGGGCTCTTTGGGTATCAGGAGCATAGTGATTCCGAGTAGCAGAGAACATGAACACAGGCGGGGGTTCCTGGGAGCTCTCGTGGGCTCTCGTGGAGCAGGTGCACTGTGTAGACCTCCCAGCAGAAGACCACCTCTCTCTTGCTGCACTCCAGTTTGTTCCTGATCCTGGATGGAGTCTTAATTGGAGTGGTTTACTATAAAGTCTCAGAGGGCCTGGAGGATGGATCTGGGCTTCTAGGGGAGAGCGAGCTGTGGTACTTCCTTTTCATGAGTGAAACCCAGAAAAGGGCACCTGGAGAGATGCTGATTGGGTAGCTTTTCTATCTTGGGTTTGAATCCTGAAGGAAATCTTGGGATTGGCTGGGCTCTTGTCACTGGCTGACTGAGCTGAGGGGAGGAGCTGCTGGCAGGTGTCTGCAGAAGAGAGTTTATTTTCAAACTGGGGGCAGTTATTGGCAAACAGCCTATTTGGGGGAGTGTGTGTGTGTGTGTGTGTGTGTGTGTGTGTGTGTGTGTGTGTGTGTGTATGTGTCTACACAAGCCCTGGGGGCTTGATGAAAGTGGGCCTCAATTAGCACAAGTGGAGAGAGAAAGCACAGGCACAGCGGGCCTCTCTGTCTGTGCCTGTCTGTGCCCAGGGGGCTTTGGATTCAGAGCTGAGGCTGGACAAATTCAAATTATTACCAGGCAGAGGCGAGGCAGGGGGGAGTGGAGGAGAGGTGGGAAGGGCTTTCCCTGGGACTCTCTCTACCTGGGATATGTAAAATTCTGCTTTGCCACAGCATCAGTCTTGAATTGTCTTTTGGTCCCTGGGCAGATACGCCACAAGATGGCTAGCTTCCCTGTCTACCTGTGGCTTTTCTCCAATTCTAAGGGTTGGGAGTTGCAAGCCTTTGAGTTTTCCTCTTACCTCTACCCTTTGTTCCCGCTCTTGCCCCTGAGTGGTCTGAAGTTCCTGACCAGCCACATGGGTCCTGCTCTGGTAAAGACCCCAGACGGGAGGCCTCTGAGCCCATTAACCCTTTATTGCTTCACACTTCAGAAGGGGGCCTCTCGGCCTTTGTGCAGGGGACTCACAATTGCAGTTGCTAAGCAACAGGAGGTGGAGGTTGCTGAGGACAATGCTGTTCTGTCATAAACCCTGTGGGCAAGTGGAGGGGATATGGCCTGGGACTGCATGAGACTGGTGGCCTAGAATGTGGGAGGAGCCATGAGAGAGATAGTAGCTTTGGGAACCACACTGAAGGGAAAGCTGGTTTTAGAGGGCTCTAGAAACTGTTTAGCAGAGGAACCTAGATGTATAAACTAGCACAGGAGGAGTAAAAGGCAGCATAAAACGATCTAGGACTAATAGATGAAGTTAGTATATAAAGTATTAAGCATAGCACCAGGGTAGTATGAACTGGGGTTGGGAAAAGGCAATCCGAGTTAGCCAGGTTTCCTGGGATGGATGTTGGACTAAGTCAGAGTCAGAGAGGCAGGCTCTTGGTCCTTGCTTTTCATACTGAGTTTCAGGGATGCTTGTCATAGCAGAAGGGACTTATGTTTCATGACTATGGTGAGTTGCTTGATCAATCATTTCTGACTGTCCATCTAGAACGCCCAAGCTCCCGCTAATAAAATCCCCCCTTTCTGCCTTTGGTCCTGCTAACTGGGCTGTCGAGATACATCTTCCCAGAATGCTTCTTTTGCCTCTGGCTTTGTGAAGTCACTGCCATGCTCAACTTTTGTGTGAACATACACTTGTCCCTGTTCATGGTTAAATTTAGGGTGGTTTCTTGCCTCTGCCGAGCCCGAGAGAGCAGACTCTGTCCTATGTAGGCAGATCTGAAGTCCATTAGGTTTGGCCATGCAGGTGGAGGGAAGCCCTATAGCAAGTGGGTCGGGAGACAGGAAGGTATAGGACTGCCACTCTGGTCACCTTCTTGTTCTGAAACACTGTAGCCCAGCAGTCTGGACCTCCTAGGGAGGTTAGTTTGTGCAACCAGCTGCCCTGAGTATTCCGGCTAACAGACGTCAGGACTGCTAGCCATTAGCTGGTAACACTGAAGTGAAATCAGAGACTATGCTCAGTGCCCTGAGCATTGTTTGATTCTCATGTTGGTGTTCAGTGGAAAGCACACTGATTTGGGAGAACTGGCTTCATCTCCTAATAGCTGTGCATTTTTGGAAAGAAGTTTAACATTAGTTCCTTCATCAATAATGGACTTTTGGGTGAGGATTAAATATGGTGACTGTCTAATATCACATGGCTCATATTCAATGCTCAGTCTTCCTTCCTTCGCTCTGGAGCTCAGAGATTAGCATAATGAAAAGTTCTGTCAGGTGGGGCATGGAGGATGCTGCAGTCTGGGGTCTGCTGGGCTCAGTGACCTGGCAGACTAGAGTGACAGGAGTCCTGCAGGTTTAAGGAAGGTTTTTTTTTTTTTTTAAGATTTATTTATTTTGTATACAGTGTTCTGCCTGCATGTACACATGCAGGCCAGAAGAGGGCACCAGATCTCATTACAGATGGTTGGGAGCCATCATGTTGTTGCTGGGAATTGACCTCAGGACCTTTGAAAGAGCAGCCAGTACTCTTAACCTCTGAGCCATCTCTCCAGCCCAAGGAAGGGTATTCTTATGTTAAATATTTACCTGCTAGGCCCATTTTTATCTTTTGGGTGGGGATTATACACCTAGACTTGCAACAAGCATTCCACCCATTCTAAAGAATCCACACCCTAGGAACTAATTATCAGAAGAAAAAAGGCCTACTAGCCACCTAGATCCTATGGCTCTCATTTCCGGTGGCATCAAGGGCAAGCAGGCTGAGTTTCTACCTCAGATAGGCCACCCTAGGAGTAGAGTGCAAACAGCTTGGAGGGAGGGGGTCCCCAGCAGCTTTAGGGTTGCTCCTGTGTCAGGAAGGGTTGGGATAGGCGGAACTCTGAAGGCATCATCTTGGAGCTACATTTGCCTGTCCTGTGAATTTTAGAAAATTCCATTTGTTTACAGCAAAGGTCAAGTGAGGATGGGCAACTGGAAGTGTAGGGGGGATGGGGCAGGCAGCTGGACACCCCGGGTGAGAGTCACTGCGGTGTCCAGGTGGAAGGCGGCAGAAAGGGAAACACTGATACTTTGGAGGTAGGATTTGAAAGATGAAAATAAATATGTGGCAGAGGGTGACAGAGGAATCCAGGCTGTGCCAGGCTCCGCCACAGGGCAACCTGGAGCATGGTGGTACAGTTCACTGATGTGGCAGAGGAGAGGGAGGTGATATGTTATCACCTTCAGTGTAGACTTCTGGTTTTAAATCTGCATCTCTTTCATTTGTTTCACAGCCTTTATTTGAGTGTCCAGTGATGCCAGGTGCTATGAGCCCCCCCCCCCCCTTATCTCTTGCCTTCCACCTCATCCCAATTTTCCCCTTTCTCATTTCTTACTAATGAGGAAACTAAAATTGGCAGGTCGAGTAACTCGCCCAAAGGAGCATACAGCTGAGCTGGACTCGTGCCTGGGTATTTTGGGCTGCCAAGCATATGCCTTTCTCACAGACTGCACTGCTAGGGGACTTCTAATGCTGTCAGGGTGCAGGGTTCCCTCAGAGGAGGGTACTGAGGGATCCGGTGGGCACCTTGGTGGGCCTGGTGGTGTGCTGTGGATGCTGACCTGGTGGGAAGGAAGCGTCTTTTTACGCTGGGGTGTGTGGCTTTGTGGGACTGCATGTGGTCAGTCAGCTGGGGCGTAGAGGGGATGGGATGTATTGAGAGGGCTGCTGACGCTGCTGCCTGGCTGGGCTGGACTCTGGCCACTCTAAGGCGCTTAGGCCGCTGATAATAGCTCTGAGGGATTACAGGCTTTGGGAGGCGAGGTCTGGGTCCCTGGGAGGGCCCCAAACGCTGCTGGGGATTCCAGGGACAGAGACCTCAAAAAGCCAGTGTACCCGCAGAGGACTCATACCTTAAAAAGGAGCTCAGGGGTGGTAAATCTTGTAGGGAGTCCAGAGGTAACCAAATGCTGGCCCTTCACTCCTTTCCCTAATGGTCTGGGAAGTCTGGCGTATTTGAGGGCAACTCACCATGCCTTGACTTTCTCCGGTCTGGGTCTCAGCTATTGAAAGGCAGGAGCAGTGCGAAGGATTGAACATAGCAATCTGCCCTCAGTGACCTCAATCCTATTTGTTCCTCTTGGATAACAGGCCTAGGCTATTCTCAAGCTCTGGGAATGGCCTGTGTAAGCAGGACTGGGGAGCTCCTGCAGAGTCCCTTCCTTCCGCACCCTTGATTCAGGACTTCCCTCCCCACAGGAAGAGTCCGACTGCAGACAGGAGCATCTCTCCAGATTGAGGGGCTCCGGGTGGAAGACCAGGGTTGGTACGAGTGTCGTGTGCTCTTCCTGGACCAACACAGCCCTGAACAGGATTTTGCCAACGGCTCCTGGGTGCACCTGACAGTCAATTGTATGAAGCAGGGGAGCAGGTGGTGCAGGGAGGGAGGGGAATGGCGGGGACCCTGGTAGTGACGAAGAAGAGGGAGCTCTATTTGCATCCTAGTGCAGTGCTGATGCCCTATCCATATCGGCGTTTGCTCAGCTCACTGTTTGCTCTTAGTGCTTGCCTCTTAACCCCGCCCTCCCTCCCACCCTTTCAGTTCTTCAGATAAAATCCAATCAGCCTCTAGGCTCTGAGTCAGGAACTTCCACTCCCCGGCCGAGGTCATGGTTATGGTGCATTGGGCCCTGTGTGGTGCTGCTCACCAGTGCACAGCACTTTGCATCCGAGACCTTCTTTCTTCGGAGACCGTTGTAACCATTCCCATTTCATAGGCGAGACTGAGACGGAGAATCAGGTAGAGAGGCAGCTTGTGCCACCGATGAGTGGCAGAGATGAGTCTAAGACCCCCACCTCCTGATTCCCAGACTCCCCTGGACACTTGGCTCTCCCCCAGCTCTGGACATGCAGCCAGTGTTGGGATGGTCCTGTGTCCCCTGTACAGCAGACAGGTGACCCTGGGCTAGTACTCCCATGTGCCTGGACAGGCAGCTAGGTCTTCCTGGCTTCTGAACGCTGCTTTGTGGACTGGTAGCCTTTGTGGCAGCCCCTGACGCCTCTCTCCTTCACAGCGCCCCCTCAGTTCCAGGAGACGCCTCCCTTAGAACTGGAAGTGAAGGAATTGGAGGCTGTTACCTTGCGCTGTGTGGCCCGTGGCAGCCCCCAGCCTTATGTGACTTGGAAATTCCGAGGACAGGACCTTGGCAAGGGCCAGGGTCAGGTGCAAGTGAGTGGACCCCCTAGTGTGGGAGGGCAAAATTGAGAGGGCAGAAGCCAAGCCTGGAGATGGGTCGGAGGAGGGGCTTGCTATTGATTTCCCTGAGCCTGGGGTGCTGCCTCCCTCTGCTGGCCAGTCTTGGAAGTGCAGGGTGTGAGGCTGACCAAACAGGAAGGGCCTTGTCTTAAAGACGCCTTACCTAGGTGCAGAACGGGACACTGAGGATCCGTCGGGTGGAGCGAGGCAGCGCTGGAGACTACACCTGCCAAGCCTCCAGCACCGAGGGCAGCGTCACCCATACCACACAACTGCTGGTGCTAGGTGCTCTTTGGTGGGAGGGCTGGAGACCTGGGCCACCTTTGTGAGAAGACGTGACCTGTGTTGGGAGGGAATCACACAGAAGATGGGGAGGGAGGCTCATATCTGAGGAAGGAGCCCCTGTGGGGGGAAGGAAAGGTTGAAGAAATTTTAGTGCCCAGCAGTGTGTCACAGCGGAAAGGACATGGGCTAATGTTAGGTCACAAACCAAGGGACTTTCCTGAGTCAAAATAGAGGTTCATACCTACCTCTCAGGACTTCAAAAGCATAAAAGTGACATGTAGTCATTCGTGCTTAGCTCGTCCCTTGGGAAGGAGGCACAAAGGAGCTGTGTGAGGCAGGAATCTGTCTTCATAGCACCTGGTTCCCCGGAGGGGAAACAGATTAATTTGTGATCACTGGAGTGTCATTGTCCTTGGTACTTGACAAGAGCAGTGCTGGGGAATAGTTAAAGCACAGAGACCCTGGCATCAGGAAGCCCAAGTAGAAGTCTTGCCTCCCACTTTGACCTAGGGCGAGGTCCCTCCTAATGTGTCTGCCTCTGAAACGTCACTACTTCACCTGCCAGAGCAGAAAGATGGTGCTTGACACACTGGTTCTTATGAGAGCTCGAGAGATAAGCAAGCAGAGTGCTATGTGCTCAGTGCAGCCTGTGGCAGGTGCTCTCTGTGTGTGCTTGGGTCATTTCCCACTTGTTACTAACTGGCTGTGCACTGGGGCCCCAGGATGGAGAAGGCAACGGGGGTATGGTAGCTAGAGACAGGTTTGCAGAAGGCGTGCGGCTGGGTTGGACTTTAGGAAATGGTGTGCTGGATATTCACCAGGGACAAGGAATCTGCCTGGCATGGGGACAGCCAGCTGCCCAGACTGGCCTGATGAATCGGACATATGGAAAGATGGGTGGCCAGGTGGGGGTTATGGGTAGGCACTGGGGTGAACATTTTCTGTGAGCAAATGGGGTCCTTCCTGTGTGAATGGCCATTAGTGTTGAGGTGACGGGGCAATCTAGAACTTGGCATTGTTACAGCATCTTTGGTGATGTATGGGTACCTATGTGGGAGGCATGGGTGTGACAGGGAGAGACAGAGTAAATGAGCAGAGTTAAGACTGACCCTCCTTCACATACTTTCTAAGCAGACAGGAAGAGGGTAAATATGGTTACCTGTCACTTCTGGTGAAACAAGGAAGACTTGGAAAAGGGAGAAGCCCCTGGAATAGAATGGGTTTTTATCACATCTCCTGCTTCAGGCCCTCAAGGCCCTGTAGCAAGCACCATGCCCCAGGAAGAGGTGTAGAAGTATCCTGAGGGTTCTGGGAAGATCAGGGGTCGAGGACATCTCTCTGCCTTTCTACTGCCCTCAGGACCCCCTGTCATCCTGGTGCCCCCCAACAACACTACGGTCAATGTCTCCCAGGATGTTTCTTTGGCCTGCCAGGCTGAGGCATACCCTGCTAACCTCACCTACAGCTGGTTCCAGGATGGCGTCAATGTCTTCCACATTAGGTAGGGTCACCTACCTCTTGGGTGGTAGAGTCAAGGAACTGATGAATAGTAGCTGAGGGACTCGTGTGTACGAGCCCTGGGATCCTCCTTACACATGCCCCATTGCAGCCACCTACAGTCTCGAGTGCGGATCCTGGTAGATGGAAGTCTGTGGCTACAGGCCGCTCAGCCTGATGACGCTGGCCACTATACCTGTGTGCCCAGCAATGGCTTTCTGCATCCACCCTCGGCTTCTGCCTATCTCACTGTGCTCTGTAAGTCTGAGCCGAGATTCCCACCGGCGCTCCCAGCCTGCTACCCCCTGAGACAGACCCAAGACCTTGTTCTCCAACTTGTCTCTGCATTCTTCCAGACCCAGCACAGGTGACAGTTATGCCTCCTGAGACACTCCTGCCCATCGGCATGCGGGGGGTGATCCAGTGTCCAGCTCGTGCTAACCCCCCACTGCTGTTTGTCACCTGGACCAAAGATGGGCAGGCCTTGCAGCTGGACAAGGTACTGACTCGGGACAGCGGAAGGAGCTAGGTGTTATTGTGGTCAGAGGGCCAGCTGCAATGGGTGGCTGAGTGTAATTCAGCACTATGGTTAGGAAACTTCATACTTCTTACCAGATACCGTGTTAGGTGGTGGATGTGGGGGTGTAACAAAGAAGTACCCATCCCTAGAGTATTGCCTCGGGGATAGAACTGCGACAGAGACTGTCCTGGCAGGCCAGAGAAGGAAAAAGGCCTTTTTGCTTTTAGGTCCGGTTGAAGAGAGGTCAGTAACAAATTCTGGGACTTCAGTGCCCACCTTGCAGAGTGGGCAGTCATTCCGTGCAGAGGCAGGGTCTATAGAGTGTCTCGATGAGATAATGAACTATTCTGTGAGGTGGGGGCTACAGTGAGCACCTGTAGGGACTTGAGTGGTGTAGAGAAGGCTGGAAAGACAGGTTGGGTCCTAAAGGAAAACTGCATGCCAACTGAATATGACCTCATTCCAAGCTGATGGGGATCTTTTGTTTGTCTGAGGAGACTGTAAATTCCTGGAGGCATTGCATCTTTTCATCATAGTGTCCCCAGGGCTTTTACGATCGTAGCTTTTTGGTAAATTTTTGTTGAAAGGTTATAAAAATCTTAAGGCAATAGCAATAGTGATATTTTGAGGGGGTGGGGTGGGGGTGGGTGGTGTGGTGTGGTATAGGGACTGTGAGTAGGAGTTAGGAGGGCAGCTGGGAGGCTGCCAAGCAGCTGAGAGGGTTGGGGTGAAGGGTTATGAGGTCTGAGCTAGAGAGGACCTGAAAACAGAAAGGCTTTCATACTTAGACCAGAATGAAGGACAGGTATTTAGATAAGGAGAGTGAGGGGCTGCACTTCAGCCAGGAGAAGGGGGGGGAGCTTTCTTATAGAAGAGGATTTGGAGTAGGAGACGCAGAACTTAGCACCACAATGCTGGGAGGACATCAGGGAACTCACAGCGGGCAGGAAACCCCTTGTGGCCAACTTTAGGGATGCCATTCGTGCTCTTCTCCGTGAGTGGCACTGGAGAGAAGTGGATGTCTAGAGTCGGGAGACGGTCAGGCCAAGACCCAGAGTTGATGGATTGACTCTCTACAAGAGAATTTCCCATTTCTCCTCCTCTCTTGAGTTGCCTCTCTCCACCCCAGCTTTGCCTCTGTTGAGTCTCTCTACTTGTCATTTCCTCTGCCTGCCAGTTCCCTGGCTGGTCGCAGGGCCCAGAGGGCTCACTCATCATTGCTCTGGGGAACGAGGATGCCTTGGGAGAATACTCATGTACCCCCTACAACAGTCTCGGTACTGCCGGACCCTCCCCTACCACCCGGGTGCTGCTCAAGGTGAGCATCACAGCAAACCTGCTGTGGTATGGCCTCGTTCTAAACCACATTGAGGGTGGAGTCAGGCAGATAGGTGTGGGAGGGGCTCCTAAGTCTGTTTCTTGTGGTGGTCATAGCAACAGCCAGCAAACTTCGCAGAGATGAGACCGGCAGTGGGACATCAGTCACGTACACACTCACAAAATGAGTTATCAGTCTCATCTCAAGCATTCGGCCTCCCTTGCCGGAGTTCCACAGGGAAAGCAGGAAAGGGGAGGAAAAGAAGGAGGGGAGGGAGGGAGAGAGGAGAGGGGGGAGGGAGGGGGAAGAAAGAAGAAAGGGAGGATGGTCTGTAGAGACTCATCTGTCTCAGAGAGTCTGGTCCCAGCCCACCACTGCCTTGCTGTCCTACCTGCTGGGAGCAAAGCCACAGAGCTGAGGAGATGGAGAATGAGTTAGAGACTAAGACAGAGTGTCGGGGATCTGGGAGTGGGAGGCATCCAAGCTTAGAGATGAAAGGGGCTGTGAAAGAGGCCCCTCCCAATACAGATCTGGCCTGCAGGCTCCCCCGGCTTTTATAGAGCAGCCCAAGGAAGAGTATTTCCAAGAAGTAGGGCGGGAGTTACTCATCCCCTGCTCCGCTTGGGGAGACCCTCCTCCTGTTGTCTCTTGGGCCAAGGTAAGGCTCCTGAATCCTGCTCGGTTCTGCCTGGGCCCGCGCCCACTGCCCCTCTGGTTGTTTTTTGGGGCAAGGAGGATGTGTGAAGGCATAGGGTGTCAGAGGCAGTGTGGGGAGGGGACAAGATATCTGGAAAGATAGTGGCCCCCTTGGTGAGGGGTGGCTGCATGTGTCCTCAGGGCTGACCAGTGGTTCTGTAGGTGGGCCGGGGGCTGCAGGGCCAGGCCCAGGTGGACAGCAACAGCAGCCTCATCCTTCGACCTCTGACCAAGGAGGCCCATGGACGATGGGAATGCAGTGCCAGCAATGCCGTAGCCCAAGTGGCCACTTCTACCAATGTCTATGTGCTAGGTTAGTGGCCTGGGAGTGCACTGGCTGGGGCTGGGGGAGCCGTGTGAAACAGGAGATGGGGGTATTGTTCTTGGGAGGTGTGGTGGGGATTTGTGGGCATGGGATCCCCCAGGATCATGGGTGGAGGACAGAACCTCCGATTTACTCTTTGTTTACCCTACTTCAGGGTCCTGATCATCATTCCTCCCCCCATTCCCCTACCCAGGCACCAGTCCTCATGTCGTCACCAATGTGTCTGTGG